GTGTTTTCAGACAAGTCTCTGTTTAGTCTAATGTATCATGCTGTTATACGGGGACTGATAGAAACATATTTCTGATGCCATGTAGCTCTGGCACCAAGTATTATGGCATGGCATGCTATCGGATTTCAGTCATGCTCAAACCCGTACTCATTACAGAAAATATTATTTTCTGTAATGAGTACGGGTTTATATATTTTCTGTATATTACTGGCCTGACCAGCCAGTAATATACAGAAAATATAATGGAAGCCGAAATTCTGCCTTACTTCAGGCAACATCTTCTGACTGGACACTGCTGAACCATGTTACTTAAGGAAGAAGTGTAAAATTTCATCAACTTACTTGGCTTGCGAATCATGCCTATAGGCAATTCACTAGTCATGCCAACTTGGCTTGCGAATCATGCCTATGGGCAATTCACTAGTCATGCCAACTTGGCTTGCGATTCATACCTATGGGCAATTCACTAGTCATGCCAACTTGGCTTGCGAATCATGCCTATGGGCAATTCACTAGTCATGCCACAACCATTATCTGTCAGAGATATCTATTGTTTAGGTTCGAACACAGGCAGTATTGTATGAGATACCAGGTATAGCCATCAAGGATATCTTTCATCCAATTCTGGTACAAGCAGTTATATGTTCACGTTCTACTAATTAATCATGTATAAATGTTAAATTATAATTAAGTAATTTTCTAATAATTTTTTTAGATTGTAAATCTAAGAAATAAATTAATCTTTGTCCTAAATTCAAAATAATCCATAAAAATACATAAAAAATATACATTTTATTAAGTTATATTTGATGACTTCTTGTGAATGGTGACAATATACGAAGCGTTACATTAGTAAAAAAAAAAAAACTTAATTAAACCCAATTAAATAAATTTTTAGATTCTAAATCTTAGAATTTTCTCATAAAACACAGATTTTATATAAATTAGTTATAAAAAAAAATAAATAAATAGATAACTGTAGCAAAATTCAACTTATATTCTATTGACACATCACTTTCTAAGAAAATCCTCTTAAATATGCTGACTTTTTTGAATCAAGTGGTGATTTTTTTGAAACTCTGAATTGCTGACTATTACTAAAAATCAATTTAATAGATAATTCTTTTTTAAAAAGTGTATGATTAGAGGCAGATTTCCATCTTGATCGCGATCGATATGGACTTTACACGTCGTTAAAATTACTTATAAAATACATTCCTAAAAAAAAATAAAGATTTTTTTGATAATAATAAGAATTTTTTACATTCGTTTCAATCATTTTCACTTGTTAATTAATCTAAAAAATTAATTTTTTTTATTAAAATATTTATTAATTTACAGGATAATGTATGATGAATTATTAAGACAAAACCAAGATTATAATCGATTTTTTTGGAATTCTAAAAAAAATACTTTAGGAAGTTTTTTTAAATATTTAATTAAAATATTAGAATTTTTTTGATAAAATCTGTATTAATGTATTGAAAGTATTGAGAATCATTAAGCAAAAGCCAAAATTTAAATCGTGTTTTTTTGGAATTCTAATGAATTTTTTTTAAGGAAAGTCTTTAGATATTAAAGTTATTTTTACGATCAAATTTAAATTCAATTTTATTGTTTTCTTCTTTGATCTTTAAGGAAATTTTCTGGCTCTAATTCCAAATATCTAAATTTAGAATTTTGAAAGTTTTGGAGTTTAAATGATAATCACTTATGATAATCTAAAAATTATCATCTCTTAAAACTTTCTCCTTGTTTTTTTTTTTTAATTTGGAAACAAACTTAAACACATTTATGTTATATTTTATAATCAGATTTTTTAAATAAATTAAAAATTAAATAGAAAATAAAACTCTAAAAACTCTAAATATATTTATTAAAAATCCTCTAAAAATGTATTTGAATGTGTTTAAATTTTATATTATTTATTTACTTACTAAAGAAATTTTTTTTAATATTTACGAATGAAGAGAAATAATCTATTCAAGCTTACTTTTATTTTCACTTTTATTCTTCAAAATTTCAATTTTTTTAAGAAGCGACAAAAGAATTGTTTGATTACAAAAAAAAACTTTTAAAATTTTCTAGAATTAAATGGCTTTA